GGTATCTCCATCACTCAGAGCTTCCCAGGGTATTTACCACCTGCTCTGCCCAGCTGAGGGCTCTGGGGACAGGGGAGGTGGTGGGACCAGGCTGGGTGGAGGCAGCAGCCACGCGCCTCCGCTGCCGATGGGGCCTTGAGCTATTCCCTGAGCCTCACCGCTTCCCAATTAAAACACCTGAAAAACGCGATAGTGCTTCATTATCCGCTTCCCAGAGCATTTTGAAGTGTTAATGAAGTGATGTTTGTAGGAGCTGTGGTTACCCCGAGATGCACAGGCAGATAGGTGGCTACTTTTCATCATCTCCCAGATCCTCAATGCGGGCGCACAGATCTGCTCACAGACACAGCCAAAGCCCCACCATGCTCCGGGGAGCATCAGGGCATGGCTGGTGGGTCCAAATGGCATTCCTTCTTGCGTACGGAACAGGACAAGTATTTACTGCTAGACCTGATCTGGGAGCGGGACAAAGCCTTCCTCCTAGCTGGGGAGAGTGCAAGAAGAGATCTTTTAAGTGCTCACCCCGCTATATAAAAGCCAAAGTCCCGCTCCTGGGAATATTCAGGTATTACAGAGAACCGTCTTCTCCTTTAGTCACCCTGCAAGCCCAGGGCAGCAAAGACTCTCTGGCAGGAAGAGGGATGTCCCTGTCCCCATCGGACACTGGGAAACCTCCCCAGCTAAGGGCTTTCAAGCAGAAATATGGCAACGGAAGAAGATCTCCATTGTTTTGTGACTGTGGTTAGAGAGGCAGAAGCTGCCTTCAGCAGGCTGGGGTCGCAGGGAAATGGAGCTGCTGGTTTTGTGATAGCCGGGGCTGTGCTGTATTATGGCAACACAGACTTTATAGGGCTGCAGTAAATAGGTGTGCAGGTTGGGACTTGAGGCCGGAGCTTCGTCTTGAAGGATTCACTCTTGTTCTCCTTTCCCTACACCGGGGCACATCTGCATACACGTGAGCAGGGGCAGCATCAACCTGCTGCTGCTGCTGGTCCTGTTTGGCTTGTTGAGGGGCTGTGACCAGCACTGGTCACCAGCAAAGCCCCAGAGCATCAGGATAAGGGTGCCCCATCCTAAAGCCAGCAAAGACGACCCTGGGGCAAGGTGTCTGCATCAAGGGCTTACTGCAAACCTGCCCTAAGCTGGCAGAGCAGCACGGAGCGGCTGCCCTGCTTTGGGGAGGCTTTTCGGGTTGTGTGAGGTGGAGGAAGGCACCAAATCCTTCTCCCTGGCGAGGTAAGAGCCAAAGCTGCTCCTCCTGTCTCACCCGTTGAGGGGCAGGGGGGGAGTTTTGCAGCCTGCCAGCCCCTATCCAACACCCCCACACACAAAACCAGTGTGGTGGAGAGCAGAGCAAGGGCTGGGCTCCACTTTAGTACAGCCCGTGCCATGTAGAGCCATATAAATAAATGAATGCCCAGCCAAAGCAAAAGGCTCCAGCACACACATAAACCCCTCTCCAGCCTGCCGAGCACACAGTACATCAGCAAAGCGGATCAGCCTCGTGCTGCCCTGTGCAATACTCCTGGCACCGCAGATTTTCCACGAGTGATCAGGCAGCTTTTCCAAGCATAAATTCAATTTATACCTAAAATTAGAGCAGGAGCATCGCAGGGGAGCCAAGAAAAGAAACTTTGGCTCTTCAAAGCAGCCCTGCCTGGCAGTCGCCCAGTGGAAGGTATATTACATAAATCCAGCCTGGAGCTGAACAACTCCAGCGCTGCTGATGGGGAAATATCTGGTTGTAAATCCATTAAAGCTCCTCTGATCCAACAGTGTCAGAACTTCAGAGTCCTGCCATTTTTAACTTCTTTCTATGATTATATTTAACAAGTTAAGCTCATTTGGCTAATGAGCTGCTTTATTCTTCTGAAAGGAAGCAATGCTGAGTGTGGGGATGAGCTGTGGCTTGCTCGAGCAGCTCTGGGGATGGTAAGGAGAGGCTATAAATCCCCTGGGACCAGGGGTGGGGCATGGCTGTGCTGTCCTGTCCAGCCTTTCCCAACCCCCCTCATATGGGATAACAACCTCTCTGCTTGTTTTCCTTTCCCCAGCTGCAGTCAGGAGCATCCCACCCTGAGGAGCAATGCCATTGGTACCCAGGTGATTCTTGCTGCTGCCCCAGCCCTGTGTGTGAGAGCCAGCGTGCCAGAGACCTGCACCCTGACCTGGATCCCTTATCCTATCCTGAGCTGAGCATCAGGGGATGCTGAGAGCACGTAAGCAAAGCCACAGCCATCAGCAATCGCGCTGCCCCCAAGGGCTTGGGCTTTCCAACCCCATCAGGTCTAGGGACTGGATGAGGAGTTTGCCTTTGGTCCCCGACCCTGGGGCTCTGTTTGCAGAGGGCACCCATCACTTTGAAATACAGCCTGTCCCACCACGGGGCCGCATCTGGCACCGCAGGGTGTATATTACAGTGACAGCTCTGGAAAGGGCTCAGGGCTGTAAATGAAATCCCTGTCTGGGGGAGCGAGCTCCACACTGAGGGACTCTGTGGTCTGGTCTTCATCAATAATGTCCCCCAGTAAATCTTCCCAAGCGGGGTGGAGGAGTGGGGGGCTGTGGCTCCACATCTTGGCCAGTCTGGGTGAGAAGGGAGCGGAGCTGCACCCCTTGGGTTGCCCAGGCTCTCTGTGGGGTTGCTCTGTGTTGCAAAAGGCTGAATCCTGGGAACAGATGCACTGCGAGTGATGCTCATGCAGCATCTCATAACCATGTATGCGTGCAGACTGGAGGCCCAAAGTGCTCGCCAGGTTGGCTGCAGAGTAGTAATCCCAGCAGGCAGGGATGGATGCTGGCATCTCCACAAGCACCAAACACAACAAAAGCTTTTCTCCTCTGGTCAGAGCCCAGCAGGTCACAGATCCCACTGATCTGGGGGCTCTGAGCAGAAGAAGAGTGAGCCCCAACCTTGGCAGCACCGCAGTCATGCACAAGAGGCAAAGCTGCTGCTCACACCCCGGTCCCAAATCCTGATGTGCCGGGCTCTGCCCGCAGCACTGAGTCACTGCAGCAGGGATCCAGATCCAGCACTGAGATCCTGTGCTGCTCCCTCGCCCTCCACTCCCACCACATCCAAGCCCAGTCCTGCCTCCATGAAACACAAGCTGGCATGAGCCCCGGACTGGATGTCACCTTCCTGGGATGTCCCAGCCAGAGCCCTGGGTCCCAGAATCCCAGCAGCCTTAAGGAGAGGGAAGCACCAAGGTGGGCAGGGTTGATCCGGCGCCACCGAGCATCATAGGGAGCCCAAGCGGCTGCTGCTGGCTCTGCTCCCAGCTGCAATCCTTTCCAGTTTACAGCACTGAGGAATGCAATGGGAATTCATGCCTGAGCACTTCAAAGCCTTCCCAGTGGGGCTGCAGACCCATGACGGCAGTGGTGGGTCTCACAACCTCCCATCTGCCCAGGGCAGAGCTGGATTTAGGATCCAGCGGTTCTATGAAGCGCTTCCTATTAACATCAAGGCTTTGGATTTCTGTTTGGAATAGAACTGGGTATCACTTCCCTTGCCCTGCTACGGATCTTGGAGCTGAGCAGCAGAGATCCCAATCCCATTTCATGGTCCTGAGCTGCACAAGCCACAACAAGCCTCACCATGCCTCAGGTGGCTTTTACTTACTGGAAGAGCTCCCCCAGTGCTGGAGAAGGGGGGTTTATGCCCAGGGAAGTGGGAGCAATGAATATTCCTTATCTTTTTCTCCATAGAGTGAGATTTCTGCTCCTTTTGTACCGGATTTGCTCAGAAGGCAAAGGAAACGCCTCCGAGATGCTTTGTGTTGCACCGGTCCCTGCGTGCCGGGAGCACACAAGCCCAGCTCCTGCTGCTGCTCGCCGGCGCGTGCCTCATTTCGTTTGAAAATCAGATGCTTTAGGGGAAAGTTTCTTCTTCCAGCCCTGCGTGCCCACATCTTGCATATGCAGGTGATCCGGCACACCTCTGCTCTGCAGGCAGATAAAGGCACAGGCAGGGAGCAGGGCTGGAGCACAGCAGAAACCTCCCCGTGCTGCCGTGGGGCTGTAAAACGCAGGTCCCAGCCTGGCCTTTCACCCCCAGACAGCAGAGGGGATGTTTTCTTCCTGGTCATCTCTGCATGGTTGAAGGCTGAGTGTTCCAGGCCCAGGGCTGTGGGCTATGACTCAGTTACCCAGCGTGACTTCTAGGGGAGAAGCTCCCATGTGGCAATGCTGAACGTCCTCATGTGGAAGTCCCCCTCCTGCCAGCATGGGTTTGGGTTTGGGCAAGGCTTTTCTGAGCTGCTCAGTGGGGTGCAGGGATGCTGCACCCTCTCCTGCCCACACTCCAGGGGACCATCCATGATGCTCTGCAGGGATGCTCGGACACACACCCTTCCTCAGTGCCACAGTGGTCCAGGAAGGACCTGGTCCTATGGCTGTTTCAGGGGATCTGAGACCTCCCAGGGGTTTGGCTGATGGAAAAGAAAGAGTTTATCCCAGTATCAGCATCCCGGTGAGGAATGAGGTCATCAGTGATGTAATGAGCTTTCTCAGCTCCAAAGTTTCCGCTTTTCATCCCTGCTGGTAATTTCAAAATTTTTGAGATTAGGGAAAAAAAAAATCTTAAAATCAGGGCAAAATTCTTAAAAATTCTTCAAATTTTTAAATCCTTTAAAAACCTTAAAATTCTTAAAATCATTCTTAAAAAAAACAACTACTTTCCTTCCTGCCTTTCCCGTCTTGCTGAACTGGGGCTGTTGTGGGTTTCTTTCCACTTCTCCTCATTTTGAGGGGTGCTTTTGACCAATAAAGGAAAAAAACCCAGGGGTTTTAGGGAAAAGGGAGGAAAAGCCCAACTGGAAAAGCTGGTCTTTTGGTTCTCCCATTTATCCAAGCCATGAGGCAGGGTGGACAAAAATGTGTCCCCTGGATGAGCTTCCTGCTTTGTCTGTGGCTTAGAGAATGATTTTACTTTCTGTATGCAGGCTTTGTCCTGTTCCTAAGACTCTCCAGAACACCACAAGCACAAGATACTTCTCTTTTATTGGGCTTTTTCTTTCTGTTTTAGGCCTAATTTGGGACAAAAGGACATCCTCTCCCTGGAAGCAGCCCACTGTGCGGCACAGCCCTGAACATGACCATGGAGAGTTTTGCAGAGTTCCTGAATAAGCTCAAGGAAATCCATGAGAAAGAGGTCCAAGGTAAGGAGACACGAGAAGGCTTCCTAAAACCAGCCAAGGTCCATTTCTTTGTAGGGCCACTTGATCTGGTTGGTTTCATGTAACTTGAATGGAGGAGGAGAGGGTGTGGGTTAGGGAGCTTTGGGAATTAGGGCTCAGGAAGCATACCCTGGAGAGAGGGAAAGAAAAAGGGAGGGATGGATGGATGGATGGATGGATGGATGGATGGATGGATGGATGGACGGACGGACGGACGCAGAGGGTCCCAGCCTGGCCCTCAAAGGAGCACACCCTCCATAACACGTTGGTATCTTCAATGGGGTTTACTGAGAAAATCAGTAACTTTTTGGATGATGAGGAGGAGCAGAAGAGAGAGGCCATTCCTTCATCCAGTGCTCCTGGAGAGCAATCCATGGAGGTGATCAGTCCCTTCAGGGATCCCACTTGCTCCAAGCATTAATCACAAGGGATTTGGCTCCTTTCCTGCTCTTGTTGCCATCCACGGTCTCTGATAAAGGTGACCTGGGAGGTCTGCAGAAGTGACATGCCCATCTGCCAGGTATCTTTTCCAAGCAGTGTGGATTGTAGCATATTTGGGTACTGAGGGATCAAGGGGAAAGTGGAAAATGCAATAATCTATAAGACAGAAGCAGCAGAAGTATAAGGTTCTGTTAAAGAAAACCTTAAAGTCAGCTTGGATAATTTATTCCTCCAGGGAATAAATTATTCCTTAGGCTATACATTATTTAAATAAGAACCATTAAGGTAAGCAACTGAATGCCAAATCCAATTGTTTTCCTATTAGAATAATTCCCACTATCGATACTATGAACAAAACAAGAGCGCTTTTGGAGGATTCTGCTTTATGAATTCATCCTTCTCTTGTGTAACTTCGAGCCGTGTGAGAATTAGAGGAAACTGTTGAGCAATTTCAACCATGCTTACATCTACTTTGCATGAAATGGGTTTGAGAGGATGTAACGTCTGCAGATCCATCAGCGAAAGATGAGCTTGTTCAGCTGTAAATATCCTTCAAGATGCTTCGCAGCCCCGAGGGGTGTAAAGTATTGCCCACCTGGGAAGTGCGTGCTGTAACGAGAAAGGAGGAGAAACACCACAGCAACGGACTTTTTTGGGGCTGGGAGGGAAATGCAGGCTCTTTAAAGAGTGGAAATGGAAAATGTGCTCACATTTTGCACCACTTTGCCTGCTGCGTTAAACTGTGATGCGGTTTAACACGCGCAATGGGTCGTTCCTTCTCCGAAATAAGGTTTGTGCGTTGATGAGGTTTCTGCAAAGCTGGCCTGCTCCTGATGTTCTGACATCGCATTTTGTTCCTGAGTGCTGGGGAATTGGCAATAAATATCCACATCTCTGTTCTTTATCCCAGGTCTGCAGAGCAAGCTGACGGAGCTGATGACCGAGAAGTGCCGGTGAGCAATGCTGTGTCTGCTCTACCCACAGTAGGGCAGGGGTGGAGATGGGGGTCCTGCTGCTTCCTTTTCAGACCTCTGGGCACTCCTCTGAGGCTGCTGGTTCATCGAGCACGTTTTGCCTTTCTGGATTTGCCAAATCTAAGCCTTTTTGGTGATTTTCATATAGAACTCCCCAGCACAGGCAAGGCTTGGGGTAATCCCAGCCCACCTACAGTTTGCCCTCCCACTGGCAAGTGATGCTTGTGTCAATGCTTCTTGGGAAGCAATAAGATGGGATGAAGCAAGCTTCCAGGGTGTCCCAGGGCGGTATCTGGGCTGCAATACATTTGTTTCTCCTCCTGACACACAAGCAAAAGCAATGCAGCTACACCGGACTGAGCAGCACAGTGGGCTGGGAACAGAAATCCTTCCCCTTGACAGGGGGATAAAGGCACAGATTTGGGGGAGAAATCCAATAACCCTCTTTTCTTTGCTCCGTTTCTTCAATCAGCGATGCTCAGAGAATTGAAGAGTTGTTTGCTAAAAATCACCAGTTAAGGGAACAACAGAAGGTCCTTAAAGAGAACGTGAAGGTGTTAGAAAACAGGTAAGATTGCTTTCTCAATAGGGTGCTGTTTGGTGGCAGTGAGGGCACTCCCCTAAGGGAAGATTTTGGGTTTGCTGCCTTCCCAGGAGCACCTGAACCCCTTTTTTGCTCATACTCAGCTGCTGGGAGAGCTGGAGGGGCACATAGAGAGGAGCTTTTCTAAGCTGATGGTGGTGGGACTGGATCTGTCAGGGAGGAAAAGGCAGGGCTGGGCTGCACAGATGAAACCCCTCTCCCCAATTCTGGGTGTTCATGCTTCTCCATGGGAAGGGCAGGAGCTTATTTTCCTGATGGGAACCATGTGGTAACAAGCTGCTGCCCGTGGGTTCTCCTCCAGGCTGCGAGCGGGTCTCTGCGACAGATGCATGGTCACCCAGGAGCTGGCCAAAAAGAAGCAGAATGAGTACGAGACCTCCCATTTCCAGAGCCTGCAGCACATCTTCATCCTCAGTACGTACCATCCCCTGCCAGAAGCTCGGCTTGGGCTGAGTTTTTCCTCTCCCAGATACCTGCATGTAAACCCCCACGGTGACCAGACATCCAGGAAGGGTTTGGGGATAGGGACAAGGGAGCAAGTGAATGGAAGTGCTGGGGGCTTGGAAAATCAGATCTGAGCAGGACTGCAGATGCAGTCCATGTTCCCCCCACAAGCAGACAAAGCCACTCACATGAAGTGGCAGAGTTTGGGGGGTTGTAGCCCTCTGCACCCCCAGGAAGATGAGAGATGCTGATGCCAAGAGCAGCCCCAGGCTGGCCAGGCCATGTCAGCCGCACGGATAAAAGATGCATTTGATACTGGAGGAGCAACACTGGCACAGACAGGGAACTCACAGCAGCAGCTCAGTGCGGGTAGATGGGAACCAAGCGTGAGGGAGCTTCTCCCCAGCCTTTGGCAGAGCTCCCAGGACCTCTCAGGCTCCGTGTGTTTTTCCTTGGGGATTTAGCTGGCCCAGCGTGGGTCGTGGGGGTAAAGGAGATTCTATAAGGCAGTTACAAGGGACGCAGAGGTGCCAGCAGCCCTTGGATTATCTCCCTGTTATGCCATTGCTCCCCAAGTGATGCTTTCGAGCAGTGACCCAAGGTAGCAGCTCACTCTGCTCACCGATGCAGCACCCAGTTGCTGGGTGCTCACAGCTCCCTCTGACCCTCATCTGATCGCCTCCACAGCCCCTAAAGCAACACCTGCTCATGGGAGGCAGCAGTGATGCTCACAGGCAGGGTGCTGGCTGTGTCCATCCCGCTGTCCCACAGCCACCATCCCACCTGGGTCATGCTCTCCTCTGAGCTGCAAGCACCCCCCAGTCCTGCCCAAACCCAGCTCGGGAAGATGCTCCCTTTTATCCCTTGGCCCCTGGGGTATTTTCAGAGCAGGAAGAAAACCTGGGATCCCTTCAAACCCCGGTGCCATTTCCCCCCCCTCGTCCCTGTGCACCCACGGAGCTGTGAGGAGCGCCGGCTCCCTGCGTGCAGTGCCTGAATCCAGGCACAACTTGTGTCCCTGCAGCTAACGAGACGAACCGGCTGCGGGAAGAGAACAAAACGCTCAAGGAAGAAGTGAAGAAGCTCCGGAGCCTGGAGTAAGTGTTCAGTTGGGTTTCATTCACTGCGAGGGGTGTTGGTAAGGACAGAGGCATCCCCACAGCCAAGCAGGGCTATGGCCAAACCGTGGCATCCTCGAGGGTATTTTAGCATCTAGGTCCTATGATGTTCTGTAGATGGTAGATACCAAAACACCCGTAATGGTCTTGGCTCACTCTCCTGTTCATCTGCATCCAAGGATTCAGTTTTTGGGGAACAAGGGTACTGGGCACCCCTCCATGGGTGTCTCATGGGAAGCAAAGCTCTGGGTTACTCACCTTGGCCATGGAGCCCAGCCGGGGTTTCCATGGCTTTCCCATGGCACCAGCTCTGCTCCTGCAGCAGCCAGAGAGGGTCTGCAGGAAACAGGTTGTGTTTGGGGAAGAAGAGTGACGTGAAGGGGCTGAGATGGGGTTAAGAGGGAGAAGTGAGCTGCACCAACAGGTTCATATCCCAGCAGAGTGCTGTGCTGAAAGGCAGCTAACCTGCCAGGCTGGCCAGTACATACAAATCAGCTCTTCCCTCCAGGGCTTAAAGTCCAAAGGAATTAGCACCGAGGGATTAGTTTAGAAATGTGTTTTCTTTGGAGACCAGAAGCACCATCCACTTAAAGAGGAATTCTCACTTTTACTCCCCAGTTCTTCCCAAGGCCCAGGGAGTTTCAGAGCTGTCGGTTGGGCTGGGTTTGCTGGGCATTGAGCATTCCTGCTCTATTCCCTGGGCTGCTGGATAGGAAGATTTTCAGCCAAACACCCATGTGTCAGCATCAGGGTCCAGCCAGGACGTGGTCCATGGCATAAGTGAGGGTCTCCAAGACTCAATGACTCCCTTATAGCGACCAAGAGCATCAGCCCCACCAGCTGGATATGGTGAAGGGGGGACAGCCACCACATCCCCATGCTGAACCCAGGCTGAAAGCCCAGCCAGGGACATACAGGTTCTCATAGAGCTTTTGCAACAGCCGCAGTTGGGTTTTGGCTTTCCCAACGTCACAGCTTCCTGAGACGTTACCCACGGCCAAGTGGGGAAATCAGACCTTGAGCTGTCGTGTTGGCTCTGTCCCATGCTCCAGACTGCAGCTGAGCTGGCAATAACCTGCAATGGAAGGAGGCGAGTCTGAGGAGCCGGTATATCCACATACATATCTATATGTATAGTTGTACATTGGGCTTTATAACTCAGAGGTCCCAGTACAGTGGCTCTCAAACCTTCCTTCTCCTGCTCCTTCTCCTTCATTCATTTCCTCCTTTTAATAGGGACAGGGCAAAGCCCCCAGGAGTCACCTCCAGGGAAAGCAGCTCCACTCCCAGCTCCCCATTGCCACTGCTGTCCCCAGTGAGCAGGAATGCCAGCACCGAGAAAGCAGCTCACAGGGAAGCAGAAGAAGCCCACCACGATGGGCCAGGCCTCGAGCTGGAAGAAGGTGGGTGCTGCTGGCTCCTGCCGCCCTTGGTGGACCTGGGGATGGGCAGAGTAAGTGAGCCATGGTGCAAAGCTGCTCTGGGAAAGGGTCTGGAGAGCAAAGACCAAGCTGTTGGCAGCTGAGATGGACAGAATGGCTGCTGGAGGTGGGGGGAATGCCGGTCAAGGGAGAAACGCTGCTCTGTGTTAGAGTGCTGTGCAGGTGTGCACCCACCACCCATCTCCTGCAGAGCCCATGTTGCTCCATTGCCACACACACACGCTGGAGGGTACATTCAGTCAGGTGCTGGCTTGAGCCAGATGGAGATTTTGGCATGAAATCCTCAACAGGGGATGGCTGGTACCACCCAGTGGCATCCTTGGGAAGCAGGGGCACGCCAGCACCATGCAGCACATACAGCAGCTCTGGGGGACCGTCACTGTGCTTGTGTCTTTCTTGCAGAGAAGCCTGCGGGGCAGAGAAGCCAGAGAAGCTCTCCAAGCAGCAGGACTTCCCCAAGCACTGTCCTGCAGGAAGTCAGCCTCGCAGAAGTGGTGAGTGTTGGAGGCAGCTCAATGTCCTCGGGCCTTTTCCCTTCCCCTGTGGTCATCAGAACTGGATGAAGAGGCTGAGACAGGGAAAGAGCAGGAGGCATTTAGGGGGTGAAACAGCCAGTTTGCTGTGGCCAGAGCCGAGGAGGACACCTACCAACATACATCCTCTCTGCAGACATTGCCACCCACAAGCAAAGCATTTGGAGTTTGGCACAGGCTCCTGTCCCTGCTGTGGGTGTGTACGTCTTAATCCTTCCTGGCAACACATCTAGCATCCTTGAGTCCTCTCCCCATCGCTCTGGTTCCTCTCTTGGATGTCTTGCTGAGGAAAGCTCCTAGTGAAGGAGCTGGGGAGGTTGTGCTGAGCCACATTTCAGTGTAGCTCATCCTGAGTTACAGAGTCAGCTCCCCATCAACTGGGTGAGCAAGAAGCTGGAGCGCTGCGAGTGTTGGAAAAGCCTGGAGAACATGTAAACTGTGGGAGTTGTGGGTACCGAGACAAACACACCACAGCTGCCCTGCCCAGGAGCTGCGCAGATGTCTCCCCACCTGCAGCATCATGAATATTGGTGTATTCAAAGGGCCTGGCATGCAGTGGTTGTCATTCTGTGCATTGATGCAAGCCTGCCGTGCCTTTAAAGCACAAAGTATGTGTCAGCCGAGGGATGCTGAGTGACACGGTGATATTGGGCACCGGGAGAGGAGGCTGCAGGACCTGGAGCCCTGCTCCTGGGAACTCGAGCCTACATACACACCCACATAGATGCTTCTCTTTTGGCACAGGCTTCGCTTACCTGAAGGCCACAGAACACTTGAAAGAGCAGGTGGAAAGGGGTTTTGGTAAGGCTGCAGGCTGGCTCTGAGGATAATTAATAGGGATGGCAGGAAGAGTTGGTGACATCTCCAGGTGGGCAGGGGAAAGTCAAGTCAGAACATGTGCTGAGCCTTTCATGATAGCAGATGGAGGTGGTGATGTCCTGGCTTCACAGCCAGCTACATCACTGGAAATACACTCATCAAATCAGTGGAAGCTGGGAGCCTGCATGGATGAAGCCTAGTGGAATGACTTAGGGATCAGGGAATTTGCAGGGTCTTATCTTGGTTAAGCCACTGAATCATGGTTTGGCTTGAGAGGAGGCACAAGACCTACAAATCAGTGCAGCCAGGAGATACAGAATACTGTGTATCCCGATAGAAAACCCAAAGGGGAAACTTCCTGGGAAAACCAATATAAACATGGTTGAGCTGTTGAGCAGGACCGTATCAAGCAGAGCTCTTAGGAGCTGATTGTCTTGGTCACACCAATGAGCTTGGTGGGGCTCCCCTTAACCATGTGCCCAGCAGAACAGCTCACCCAGACTCTTCCCTCTGCCACAGGCATCCCAGAGGATCGCCAACCAATTGCATGGAACCATTGCCCTGGTGAGACCCGGCTCCAGATCCTGCCTGCTGGAAAGAAGTCCTTCGAGGGCAGCTGTGTCCCCACCGGCCAGGAAGACGGAACGCGAGCACAGCCCCAGCCTTGAGGCGTGAGTTGCCTGCTCGTGGGTCATGGTTGGGTCTGATCATGGCCTGCTGCAGCAGTTTCACTGGGAATACCCTGTTGGATGGGGTCTTGAGGACATGGTTTAGTGTGAGGCATCCCTGCCCATGGCAGGGGGCTGGAACTGGATGATCTTAAGGTCCTTTCCAACCAGAACCAGTCTATGATTCTATCATAAGGTGGCCTTTATTCACTGTATCTGCCCACCTTCTTCTCCACACTTCTCCTACAGCCTTAGGGAAGGGGGGGGGGGGGGTCTCCCAGTTTACACCAGCAAAAAATGACTGGAATCCAGCCCAGCGGGATCAGCCTCTTGCTACTCCAGCTTGGTCAGAGAGACCCATAAAGGGAACCAGGTGCCCTCACTTCCAGGGGGAGGAGAGGACTTGCCTCACTGGAGGCAGCAATCCTTCCTTATCTATTCTAATGGGCTTTTCTGCAGGGCTCAGCACTTCCCCAGGCTTATCCACTCCATTGATTTCAGAAGCAGAGAGGGCTGAGCAAAGCCAGGGAGTTCACCTGGAGACTGTGTGTTTCCCAGAGTGGGATCAGATCTGCCGAGCATTCCCAGGAAAAGCTCACACACACGGAAGCTGCCAAATAAGCAGCAATAGCAGGGACTGGGTTTGCAGGGCAGGTTCATGCACAATAATGACCTTCTTGGCACGGCTGTAAAACCTGCCATTGAGTGGGTTAGGGCAGGGTGGGCTGTTCCTCTGTCCTAGAGGTCTTCAGGTCCACCAAGGCACTGAGAAAGCCCAATGGAGGGCTGTTAGGATGTTTGTGGCTGGAAGGGATGGATTGAGAAGTGACTTTGCAGCAGCAGTGCTGATGTGAGTGGTCACTGCGTCCTCCACTCGCCCAGTTCCCTGCCTGAAGCTGCTGTGGTCCAGAGGCAGGAGAACACTGTTGGATGGTGGGATGGTGATGCCTTCCTGCTGCCAACTGCCCAAGCCCCACAGCCACCAGAACCCTCCTCCCTAGCAGGGCACCCAAAGGCAAGCACAACGCCTGCTGCTGTAACAGGCAGCAGGGCACAGAAAGAGCAGGAGAGACCACACACATCACCTGCGGGAGCTGGGAAGTTGCATGGAAATTCTCTGATTAATGTGGTTATTTTCTTCCTGCTTCTCGCAGTTATTTGTCAGCAGCTAAACCGGACTCGCCCAAGGCTGTTCCATCCTATGAAAACCTCAAACTGATCGCCCGGAGAGAGCAGCTCTGCCTGCTCCACAAGCACCTTTCCCTGCATCAGTTGGGGCTGGCAAGCGACTATGCCCCTGCCGACCGGGACGGCAGCAGCTTCTCCAGCCACTTGCTCAGAGCCAAAGATGCTGATGGCAGGACGCGGCCACGCGACGGCTGGGAGGACCACGCAGCCTTGCTGAAGCTCCCGGCCGCCATGGTGTATGTGAGGGACCAGCACCTGGAGGAGAAGCTGCAGCTCCTCAGGCACAGGGACCGGCTGCAGCATCTCCTCATGCAGCAGTGCCAGCCAGGCCCGCGGGCAGATGGAGACGCAAAGCTTCCCCCGGAGGAGAGGCCCCTCTCCCCATGGCCGAGCACCGCACCAGGGTGCAAGGAGGAGAGGTCCTTCCTGGAGGATGCTGCAGATGGGAAGGAAGAGAAGGAGCTTTGGCTGAGCCGGGACAGCTCCGAGCTCCGAGGGAAGGCAAAGGCAGCAAGGGATGATGGCGCAGACGCGCCGCTGGACCTGTCAGACTCTGGCCGAGGCAGGGGAAGGGGCTGGCACCACCGCCGGGAGCCGCGGAGCCCCGGGGACAGCCCCGCAGTGCCGGCAGCCCATGGTCCCCATGGGAGACATGGGGCAGAGCGGGATGTCTTGTGCTTCCCCCCCTACCGCTGGCCCAGTGCCACCCAGGCACTGCCTGGTGCTGGTGAGGAGGAGGAGGAGGAGGAGGATGCAGCTGTGGTGAGTACAGCTCATGTTGACATCAACCGTGGCCCCTTCCCCTGCCCAGGATGCCCAGCACTGGTGCTGGCACTGTTATGACCATTAATGTCCCATGGGAGGATGGCTTTGCTGCATGTGTGAAGCCACAGGGATGTATTCACACATGGCAAAGCCTTAGCTATCCAGCCCTGGCTCCCATTCCCACCTCCCCTCCCATGCCAGTGGGGTTTCCATCCGGTTCCAAGGACAGGCATTGCCTGTGCCCTGTCCCACAGCTTGGTGCAGGAGGTGTGCTGGGCACCACCAGTGCACAGAAACACCTCTACCATGCTCATCCCCACGGCTGTCACTGTCATCACATAGGGGCTGGGGATGGCCCTTTGCTCCTGCCTGGTGAAGACAGCATTTGTGCTCCCTGTATCCTACAGCTCACAGTCTCCCGGGCACATCCGACAAACAACTCCACACCGAGCGACCCAGAGGCCCCTGCAGAGGCCGGGGTGAGGCTGGATGTCAGCGCACAGAAGGGAGAAGCAGGTAAAAAGCCCCAGGCAAACGTGACATTTGAGAAAGCAGGAGCATTTGGGTGATGGTATCTCACAGCCCCGAGCTCTGCGCTGGGCTCTGCACACACCCACAACCCCCATGGACTGAAGCAGTGGCTGACCAGCATGGGACACCCTTCCATGGAACCCGGTGCTCCTGGTTCCATCCTTTTGGGCCATCAGGGGAACTTCAGGTTTCACATCTTCATCCTTAAGGGCTCAATTTTCAACTCTGGGGATGCCCAAAATTCAGGCTTAGCACCTATAGGGAGAAAATAACCTGGCTGTTCTGGAGAGAGCCCAATGTCTCTGCCCAGCACAGGCCAGGCACCACCCGTGGGGTGCCCTTGCACACCCTGCAGACCATCCTGCACTCAGCTGCTGGGTGGCACGGAGTTCTCCAGCAGCTAAAGACATCAGTTTAACATCAACCCACCGGCAAAACCCGCTCCACAGTGATCCATGACAGGACGACATTGCTGCCCCAGCATTACCCACCCCTCTCAGGGAAGCAGAAGCTCAGGAGTCACCCCAGAGAAGGGGAAAATGAAGAGGTTTGCAGGACTAGTGCTGGACAAACCACCCCTGTGTGTTCCAACTTGCTTCAAAGCATGCCCTGTGCTGGCACAGGCTGTAGGGTTGAGCATGGAGCAAGGGATGCTGATACCTGCAGCAGGAAGGACAGGATGCTCTCCTCCTTGTCCCACCTCCATCCTCCGTAAGAGCCCTTTCCATTCCCCAAACCAGCAGTGCCCTCAGTCTGGGGACACATTACGTTTTCTCCCTGCCTGACCACTGCAGGATGTGGGTGCCAGGTTTGCCCAGGGCGGGTGGGAGGCAGGCAGCAGCCATGGGGAGCGGAGCAGGAAGCACGTCTGCCCAGAGCTGCTCCATTCCAGCCTTACTGGCTGGGCCAGAAAGTTGAGCTCGCCTGGATTAGTTGGTCTGGGCGTGTCGGGGTGGTTTGGGAACACTGGAGCAGGGAGTCCTCTGTGATTTACATGCTCAGGAGATAGCATCATAGCAGAAGAATCTCAGCTGATTACATTCTGGGTGTGGGAATACAGGGCTTTCTTCAGTTCTCACCTTAAGGTTGACACAATGCCCAGGAAACCATACACAAACACTTCTGCACTTTCTAGTGAACCTTAACCCTCCCAAGGATAAAGGGAGGATGGGAGAAGGGGCTCTATGGGGGCTTGAAAGCAGCAGGGTCTGCCCTCCCGCCTGGGCAGGGGCAGCAAGGGAGGATGCTCTCCCAACAATCCCACCACAGCTAGACCTGGGTGTAAGCAGCAACAAGTCCTGAGGCCCTGGAATGCCCCTGGGAAGGGGGCCCAGCTCCGTCCCCAGCCCTTCCTGCCCTCCATGGCCAGCGCAGTCGTGCTGCTGCGGGTGCAGGCAGGGTGATGCCGGCAGCAAGGCTCGGTCCCTGCGCAGCTCCGCTCTGTGCAAAGGTTGGGTGCGTATCTGGGGTTGAGCAGCCCATGGCAAAGCCCTTCTGCTGGGCAGGGGAGCAGCTCCCCTGCCTTTGCTCCCTCTGCTCCTCTGCACACCACCCCTGCTGACAGCCGCAGACCAGCACTGGGTTGTCCATTCGGCCTCTTTACCCAGACACGCTTCTCCTCACCCTGGTCTCCAGTGGGAAGGTGCAGTCTGGGGTTCTCAATACCCTTCAGCTTCCCAACCTGCACATAGCCATGGGCTTTGGGGCAGCACTTATGGCCTTAAGGTAGCAAAGTCCTATGGATGTGGCTTGATCGGGAGCTGGTTCCCCAGCAGAGTCCTGTTGGATCTGCCGTAAATATTCATTTCAAGCCATGCAGCTGGTGGTGCCTCTGCTTTGCAACACAGTTTATTGCTGAATCTGCTGCCTCAATGGGTCTGCATCTGCTCCTGAGCTTGTGGGGCCTCCTGCCAGCCAAACCCCCTTCCTGTTGTGTTTCCTTAGATGAGAACGATGCTGAGTCTGGGAAGCAGGAATCTGATGAGCCAGACACGACGGACAGCGAGGTTTGTTTGCCCTCCTCAGCCATTAGCTTAGGGTGTTGGGTCCGAGAGGTGTAAGACCGGTTATCCCTGCCCGAGCTCACTCCAGAGAGTGATGGCTCTTCCTACACAAGATGCCAAGCCCCATTCCCACACAGTTACCCAACTTGTTGCTGAGGGATAGAGATACCACCCTTTCCAGCTAGCCAAGAGGGTTTATGAGCAACAGCATTTGTCACCACTCCATAGCAATGGTCATAAATGTCCCCAGCAGTGCAGCCAGGCCATCAGCTCCCTATGATAGCCAGGGTAGTTTATAGGCTGACTGCTCTTCTCATTGATGTAGGTGGCTGCCCCATATGAAGATGATGTCCCACAAGAAGCCCAGGCTGATGGGAAGTATTTTTGCACCAAAGACAAAGCTTACACTCTGCAGAAGAAGAGAAAAAGAGGACATGATCCCTGGACAAAAGGTGGGCAGGAGGAATTCCTTATGGCAGCAGCTCAGGGCTACATTGCCTGCACCTTCCCTGCAGTAGTGATGTGCTTTGGCCACGGTTGTGTCTCCATCCAGTGGAGCCCCTGCTAATGGTTAGCCAAGGAAACCTGGTCAGGGAGGCCAGGAGAGCCCTCCTGAGCACCTAAGCTAACAGGGCTAAGTCCATCGTGTTTGCTCAGCTGGTCAGGGAGGTGGTGACTGGAGAAGGCCACATTCCCAGGGCTGAGATATTGACATTCAGAGAAAGGTTTCTGCTAGCGCTGTTGATCTTCCAGTGCAGCCAGGGAGGTTTCCCTGCTGACAGAGGAATGCGTTGTACCCGTGTTTCCTACAGGTGAACAAGCACAGCGCTGCTCCTGGTAAGGGCAAGGATAAGACAGTGTGAATGCTGAGGTTTGAGAAGTGCCCTGTCAGAAACACCCCACCATAACCCCCTCTGGACCATGGGTAGACAGGGAAGTGTTGACCCAGTTATAAACGCAGAGGGGGCTGTTGTATAAGCACGAAGGGAGCTGGTTTAACAGGCAAGTGCTGCCCCTTGCTCTGTGCCTCGCCTTTAGAGGTGCCTGTTCGCTCAGGGAGCATCCCCGCTGGGTGAGAGCTGAGTGAGAAGAGGATGTGCTCTACAAAGCCAGCCACTGGGAGCACGGGGGAGGAAGCTGTCCTTTGCTCCCCAGGACAGCACCATCCGACTCCTGGGACTGTGTCCAAGGATGTCCCGAGTGAGGGCTGGATGCAGTTGTGGCAGGAATGGGGTCATGGAGAGGCATAATCCCTCTCTCAGCATGTGGTATCTGCCGTGTACCACACTGGGAGGGGGAGAAATCCAAGGAACGCATCCCACTGATGAAGGTACCCTCTCAGATACCCCCTTGCACCAGGTCAGTTCTCCTCCTATTTCATCTTCCCATGTTGTTTCTGCGCCCAGGCTCACAGCAGCCTCCCACAGGCATCTCACGTGTGAGAGGGGCTTCTCTTCATCTTTCCTTTGCCGAGCTTTGCTTCCCCCTGTGCAGCCCCTATTCTGGGCTGAGGCCACGCTGTGCTTGTACATGTAAATCCATCTCTCTGTGGGTAACTCCTGCAGTCGTCTTGCTTTTACAGGAGCTAAGAAGCCAATGAGGGGAAGAAAGAAAGTCAAAGTGGAGCAGTGCTCAGCGGGGAGCACGAAGGAATCAGAGAACAGCTCCGCTTCCCACAACGCTGCCTCCGAGGAGACCTAACAGCAGGGCAGGATGAGAAGTGACACAGACACTGCAGAGCGAAGGAGAGGGCTTGGGCACCTCAGCATCCCACCCGTGCTGGGAGAGCAGCTCCTCCTGCCCTGCTGGGCCAGGCAGTGGGGAACCCATAAGGACTCATTGAGTAGAACACCCTGGGAATCCTCACTTGGTGCCCCAGGAGAAGCCAGGCAAGGAAGAGCCATGCGGGTGATGCCTGGAGCAGCCAGGTCCCTGCTGATGGAGCAGCACGTTCAGTGCCCCCCCCCTCCCAGCCCTGCACTGGAGCAGACCTGTGCTGGGAAGGAGATGCCCTCCTTGCAGCACTCACTGTGGTCAGGACCGTGCTCTCCCCTGGGATTTCATGGAAGGAGAATGGACCCCCAGATCCCATGTACTGGCGCCAGTGGCTGGACAAAGGGTGGTGACCAAGGGGGACCCCTGCATTGATTAAATCCCTACCCAGGTTCCATCCATGTGTGGAACTTGTTTGGCCTGGAGAAAGCCCATGGTTTTCTTTGTTAAATGAGGAGCACCAGCTCAGCAGCTCCCCCCGGCCTTGGCAGCATTGCTGGGAGCTGGTTTTCACGTGGATAAACTGTTCTTAAACACTGCTTTTCTGATGCATTAAGCATGGGCAAGTTTTCCTGCAGCAGTGAGTGACGGGATGGGAGGAGAAGGGCTGCAGTGAGCATCCCTACACACGTCACTGCACCAGGAGCTGGGCTGGGTTCTTCCTACTGGGAAAAGCTGGAGCATTCCTTAGGCAGCTCCCATCTTCCTCCCATCTCTGCAGTTCTGCAGAGCTCATTGGAAGCCATGGAGTACCTTCATTAGCAGCAGGCTGGCAGAGCCCTGTGCAGAACATGTGTGTTAACACACTTCAGCCTTCGCTGATCCCTTTACCAGAGATCCTGCCCCTGGCTGATGGGTTTCTCCTCCTCACATTCAATCCATCTTTCAGCAGCTTCTGCTTAACACCAGGACAGACCTTGACAACAGAGCAATGGGTGACAGGTTGGAGTTGCAGAAGGGGTTTGTATCTCACAACCGCTTCCCCCTGAAAACCCCATGCAATAGGGTCCAAAGAAGCTCTTCTGGGCTCAGCCCTTTAGTCATGCTTTGCACCAGGAGCAAAGTCCCACCCAGCTCATAAATTACCTCCTGGCAATGCATCATCTGGGAGTCAATGCCCTGGAGATCTGTGCTCAGGAATGCTCAACACATCCAGGTTAGGAAGTTGTAACTGGTCTAATGGAGAAAGCAGCACCTCCATCCCCATCACAGCTGCACTGGTGATGCCCCATGCCCACAGGCTCCAGGCAGGGCAGGAAGGAGCTCTCATGGCACAACCACCATGGGCAGACCGCAGCCTACACAGTGCCTGGGGGACCAGCTCAGCCCAGGTAACCTCCACCTCATTCTGCATCCTGTTGCTGTGATGCAGGCACAGGAGCTGGCACAGGGGGTGCAGGTTGCAGGGCTGCTTTATCCCAGCTTAGTGTTCATCAGATCACAGCCATGGAAGGTGGATCAGGGCCACAAGTGATGCTTTCCCCTCCTGGGCAGCCAGCGCTGTGTCTGTCCCTTGCTCGGGCTGACTTGCCGGGGGCAGCAGTACCCAGAGCAGCACTGACCACATGCGGTGAGCTGGGTAAACGTCTGTTAAAAATAGCCCATAAAGGGAAGAAAGGACATGAAATAAGAAGCTGAAATGCAGCTCCATTAAGAGGGCCCTCAGGCTGCAGGGAGGCAGCCTGGCATCGGGAGAACTGAGGAGGGAGGGAACTTTAATGCGACCGTAAAATCATCCCCTCCCTATGACGATCCCTCGATAAGCAAAATGTGCTCAAGTGTTGCCAGAAACAATGAGTGACCCAACTTCTTTTCTTAGAGATTCTTTTCCCCTCCCGTTGTACGAGGCCACCACAGAATCCACCTTCATTTATCGGACTTCTTTTGCCTTTTCCCAGCAGGGATTTTCAGCTGATGCCCTGTATCTCCATGCAGGACGCGTTTGAGGCCTGGCAGGGACACGTATTTCATAGTTAGGGCAATCCTATGGCTAGAAAACCAAACAATAGCTCTGTCAGCTCTGAGCAAAGTGCTCATTGCTGAAGGGGGAATAAAACACAGACCCTGCACTTGATCATAGAATCATAGAACAGTTAGGGTTGGAAAGGACCTTAAGATCATCTAGTTCCAACCCCCCTGCCATGAGCAGGGACACCTCACACTAAACCATGTTCCAGGCCTGGAAACTCTGCTCCTGGCTTGCTGTTTCCCACAACCGAGCTGCAGGAACAAGGGTAATTGCTGAAGGCCATTAATTCTCATAATTATGCCTGTCAGGCTTTTGTTGAAGTCAGCCTCGTCAGAGAGATGTATGTATCGATGGGGTGATAGGCAAGGCAGCCTCAGACTTGAACTATTCTGCTGTAAGGAAGGAATTGGAGACACGCAAGGAAGCCTGGAGCTTTGCAGAGGTTTTCCGTATGGAGGTTTGGTTCTGCTGGAGGTCAGGATGAGTCCAACGGGCTGATCCTGCCTTCCCTGGGAGCACACAGCCTCTTCGTAACGTCACTGGAGGTTGGCTCACGATCCCAAGGGATATCTGTGACCAGCACCAGCAATCTGTGCTTCCTGCAGAGTCAGATCCTTTCTGTTGCCACATTTCTGCTCAGCACAAGGCCGTTTTACACAATGATCTCCACTGAAAGTACCCTTGGAGTGCATGGGTTACAATGCACAGAGTAGTAAGGCAGAGGAGAAGCTGTCCCAGGAGCAGGTCAGGCCCCTGGGGAGGCTGGCAGCTCATATTTGTGTTGTTCTGACAAATCAGAGCTCTGATGTCACTGGTGATGGGATGTAGGTAGGACATAGGGGCTGGTGAACCAGATTCCCAGAGGAACGGGTTGGGAGCACAGCTCGGGTCAGGGGCTGGGCTGGAAACTGCAGACCAGACAGAGCAAGGGTGTAAGCATCCCTGTTTGCTTCACTCCATCCAAACCAGCAAGGATTGGTTCATTTAGTGCCCGTCATGCAAAAGAGTTCCAGTAACAAACCCTCCACAACTCTTTTACCTCCTGATCCTGAAGCATCTACGTGCTGAATCATTCGCACAGCTGAGATTGCTGCTCTCAGCAGACCCCCTGGTCCTCCCCCCATCAGCCTCCCACCAAACTCAGCGGCAAACTGACATTTTCGGCTGCTCTCTAGCCCTGGTTTGTAACATTTCATAAGCAATAAGTTTGTGCAGTGAATATAAACCTCCCTCTTGGAAAAAACCAGATTGCCACCACACAAAGGTTCCTCTGTTGTGTGCGTAATGCAGACGGTGCTGTGCAGGGAAGTAGGAAGTCCAATGAGCAAAAGGGAACTGTGCTGGGGAGGCAGCTGGCTGCAATGCAAGAACCAAAAGCACCCAAAACAGAGTCACGCACATCAGTCCCTTCCCCTTTACAAACTCCTGCGGTGGTATTGTCCCCATGGCAATGGATGGTTTTGAAGGTGACTTCATTCATGCTCCTTTCATGAGGCTGAGCACCACCTTCTCTGCAGTGAAATGCTTTTAGCCAGCTCTGATCAGTAAGTAATGCCCATTTATAGTGCTGGCTCTGGCAACACAGCTTCACTCCTCGGTTCGCCGCAGGAAAACTCATTCCAGGCATTACTGAAGTCTTGCTTAAGTCCTGTTTTGGGATTTAAGTTGGGCTTTTGGTCTAGAATCATAGAACCATAGAATAGTTGGTGTTGGAAAGGACCTTAAGATCATCCAGTTCCAACGCCCCCGCCATGGGCAGGGACACCTCACACTAAACCGTCTCACCCAAGGCTCTGTCCAACCTGGCCTTGACCACTGCCAGGGATGGAGCATTCACAACCTCCCTGGGCAACCCATTCCAGTGCCTCACCACCCTCACAGGAAAGAATTTCCTCCTTATATCCAATCTAAACTTCCCCTGTTTAAGTTTGAACCCATTACCCCTTGTCCTTCCCAAGGTCAGATGCACCCTGCACGGGTGTAAAAGGGGACAGGGACAGCTCAGGGGTTCAGAACAGAGCACAAGGGTGATCCTTTGCACTTGGCAAAGAGGCTCTGAAGCCCTGGATAGGTTTGGCAATCCCAGCACCCAGTGGTTGTTTCTGGAAGGGAGAGATGTGGGGAGCTCCTTTGCTTCTTTATCTCGAGCAAAGTTTATCGTAGGAGTTACCTTAGGCTCAGGGAGACCTTAGAGCAGCTCCCAGTGCCTAAAGGGTCCCTCTGGAGAGGGGCTTTGGACAAGGGTCTGTAGGGACAGGACAAGGGGAATGGCTTTAAACTGACAGAGGAGAGGTAAGATGAGCTCTTAGGCAGAAGCTCTTCACTGGGACTGGGTGAGCTTTAAGGTCCCTTCCAGCACAAACCAGTCTGGGGTTCCATGATCTTCCCAGGCTTCCAGAGACCACCCTTGTCCCCTGTTAGGCCTCTTGGATCCCCATCTGCACCCTACTTATGTTGGGAAGAATGTGATCAGAAATTTCTGGAGCCTTATCTTAATCCTAGCAGCTCCTCCAGCTGGAAGGCTGTTCTTCTGCTTCCCAGCCTAAATATATTTATGACCTGTTTATTTTTGCTCGATTTTGGGCCATGGTTTCAAAAAAAACCTAACACCCAGCCCACATATGTACTTCAAAACGCTGTTTCATATCGGATGCTTAGACGAAATCCTGCAGTTCTTGCATGCAGAGAAAACTGGTGACTTTGGTGACTCTGCTGCCCATATACTATTGGAGAGAGGATTTGCAGGCTTGGCCTTCTCCTCACCAGCTCCTTATTCCAGCAACCCATGACTGCTCAGACTGTACTCACACAGCCCAAGGCTTCCTTTAAGGTAGAGCAGGCGCTCCAGGAACAAAACGAGCCTGAATTGAGTGTTGGAGATTCAAAGTAAAGACTTAACATTTGTGCAATGATGCTGTTGTGAATGTAAAGCTACCGGCCTTCCACTTTGTCCTGGGGCTTTGCAGTTGTTAAGAGTGGAGCGTGCTTCCACTGCCATGCAGCAGCACTGTGATGAGTCCATCCTTCCTCCAAAACAGCATCCCTGGGGATGTATTAGGAGCATCCCCAGCTGAAATGGAGCTCGGGTTCCCTCCGTCTCCCTGCTGTGGGAATTCCCTCACTGCAGGAAACAAGGAGAGAAGTTGCTCGGGGTTGTACCCACTCTCTGCCAATTGTGGAAACGATGCTGCTCTGCCACCCATCTGTTTGAGCAGCAGATTCCCTGCAACACAGCAAGATGCCCACGGAACTCACACACTGTGAGCTACTTGGCTTGTCAGACGCAGATGAAAGCTCCCCAGCACTACCAGCAGCAACATTCGACGCGCTAAATTCAGCTTTGAAGTTCACAACCCACTAAGCTACGGAGGCTGGCTCCTTCCTGCTCCATCCTGCGCTGACTCAGTGGGACGATGACATCCTACAGCTGTTTCTACAAGGAAAGATTGGGAAAAAAACACCCTATTTCTCTTTAAAAAGCCAATCTTGGGTTCTAGGGAGCTGTTTGCTCTCATGGATTCCATGCCCATTTATCCCTTGGCTTAGTTGATGAGCTTGCCAGCGGGAAGGATTTGAATTCCATTTTATCCCAATTATATTTTCCACAGCTGTGATATGAGATGATGCTGCCAAATGATTTAGGCTCCAAATGTGACCTATATTGAATAGTATACAATTCTGGAGATGTTCTTGGGGTTTTAAGGGTAGAGTTTCTACTTCCATGTAGACTTTTTAATGGAAGCCTACAGGAAAACTTTGCTTTATGTTTCCTATCCTATTATTATTATTATTTACTATTAATGCTCCAAGACAAGTGTTGATGCCCCACTTACAGCAGTATACCAAAAAAGGACCTTACGAAACAGCCTTATGAAAAGACATAGAGCCTGTAGGTGTTTCATAAATCTATCTTTTATTCAGTGCCCATATTTCAGGTCCTATCAGACATCATTTTAATTGCTAGTGTATCAAGAGTTGTCACGTAGCTTCTTTAAATGTATTTGGCAAGAGCATTTACCATTCTAAGGGTCCTGTGTTGCAGACACATAAATAGCTGCTTAACTGGACATCTCGGTAGTGCTTCGTTAATGGCAAGTCTGGTCTGATATGTCCATGCCTATGGGCAAAGTCCTGCTTGGGAGCACAAGCTGCTTTGGCACATGGGAGGTGGGAAGCACAGGGGTCTGCAAGGACCTTTTCAGTTTGGGAGGCCACCAGCACCCAACCGCGCTGCTCACAGCACCCAGCAAAGCTCCCATAGTCCCTCCGCCAGGCCCAGTGGCATGGGCAGTGTTGATGCACATCAAAGTCCCCCGAGGATGGCGGAAGGGGCAGAGCTTTCCTGCTTGGCAAGCAGTCAGAGCATCATCTCGGGATGTGGCACACATGGGGTCAAGCTCCTCGGGGTATGTTTATTCCATGCAGTATAAACAGAGCAGTCTGGGAAGCAGCATGCTGTGCAGAAATGCCTTGATGTCACTCTATGGAGATAAATACCAAGTTTATGCTCTCCCAGATCCGGGTCTGCTTTGCCCATATACGTCCTGTGATCAGCACTGCCTCAGCTTAGCTTCAGAGGCATCGGGATTCATTCTCTGCATGGATTTTGGGGCTGCTGGTGAGTCTCAGGGCTGTGCATGGGGACCCAGACTCTCAGGGATGGTGGGATGGGATCTACCCCAGCTCTGCAAGCTGGTGAGCTGGGTCCCAGGCTGAGCTGCTTTTTATAGGTCTGATGTGTACAGCCGGCTGCTGATGGCTTTAGCAGATGCATCCTCCCTGCCTGCAGGAAGGCCAGGAGACCTTGGGAACCAGAGTCACTGGGGGGTTAGTGAGGGGATGGGGGGGAGTAGAAGCTTTAAATAAGTCATCCAAAGGGACGCGGTGGGTGCTTGGGAGCGGATGCAGTGGGCTTGTGGCTGTGGTGGGGGGAGCACCCGAGGGATGAAGGTGCTGCCTGCCTGACAGCCCCGGGAGCAGCCCCGGCGAGGCGATGCTCGGGGCCGCAGCCACCTCCTCCACCGGGACAGCCCCTGCCCGCCTGGCGGGGGCACCACCGAGCCGCCTGGGCAGCCGGAGCCGTTGCGCTCCGGCGCTAGGACCCGGTGGAACCCTACCGGCCGGTGATGGGGAGGGGGGGGCCCGGAGCCAATGAGAGCCGAGCGGCTGCCGGTTTCATTTACATTCGGTCGCGCCGCAGCCAATGAGCGTGCGAGTTGGCTGCCGCGCTGCGCCGGCAGGCGCCCCGCCCGGCGGCCGCGGCTCATTCGGAGGATGGCCTCCGCCGCGGCGTGCGGCTCCGCGCCCGCCCGCCCGCCCCGACAGCAGCCGCGGCCGCGGGGCGACTCCCGCCGGCGCCAGGCCGCGCTCTTCTTCCTCAACAACATCTCCCTGGACGGCCGCCCGCCCTGCCCGCCCTCCGAGCAGCCGCCGCCGCCGCCGCCCGCCGGCTCGGCCGAAGGGGAGGAGGCGGCGGCGGCGGAACCGGCCGGAGCCCCCCCGCGCCTGCAGTCCCCGGCGCCCCCCTGCCCGCCGCCGCCCGCGTTGCTGCTGCCCGGGGTCCCCCCGCTGCTGGCCGCCGCTGGAGCCAAAGGGGAGGCGGACCCCTCCCGCGGGGGCATCTTCCTGCCGCCGCTGCTGCTGGGCGGCCCGCTGTGCCCGCCGGTGCCGCCCGCCCCGCCGGGGATGCTGGCGGCCGCTAAGCCGGGCGCAACGGGGCTGCTGAGCCCTACGCAGAGCGCGGCGGGCGGAGGCTTCGTGCTGGAGGCGCAGCGACAGAGGTGAGCGAGGGGCAGGGGCACGCCGGGCCGGCCCGCAGCAAACCCCCCCCCCCCGGGAGCGGCCGCACTGACCCGCGGGGCGTGGGAAGCGGCGGGACCCCCCCCACCCAGGGCCATGGGAAGAGCTGGAGTTTCCCAGGGCCCTCGGTCGGCGGCTCCGGGGGGTGAGGAGCGGAGCATGGGAAGCGGGCGGCCCTGGGAGGCGGTGCTGGCCCCGTTATCGCCGCGGGGCACCTGACCCGTACCGGGGGTGAGCGGCCCCCGGGGCTGGCTGCTCGGGGAGGGGGGGGTTGCGGAGTCGCTCGCTGGGTCTCTGGCTGCAGCCCTGCGGTATCCCGAGCGCTGCCTCCTGCTTGTCCCTTCGCTCTGGTTCTGCATCTTTCTGCTTCCAGCTGAAGCCGATGGAGTCATTGCTAGGTAGGACTCTTCGGGTGTCCGCTGCCGATGTCCTCATCTCTGCTGCTTCTCTATGCAGTAACTCTGTGTATTAATAAATGTCCGGGCGCTGGGAACTTTGAGTCAGCCTCAGGGGAGGAGGTTCTGGCCTTTAGTGCAGGATTACCGGTGTATTTCCAAGGGGCTTCTCTCAGCCTGAGAGTGTTGGTTTTCCAGGCAGTTGGAAGGCGGGCTCCTGCTCAGATCCTGGGGATTTGAGCTCTGAAGGAACTCCTTTCAGGCTGTTTCTGGCATAAATAGCTTTGTAAAGTAAGCTGGCCCTCTGAGCCTGCAGATAGGCAAAGCAGTATCAAAGGCTTTAAGTCTCCATGGTCTTCAGAGCTGCTTCAGAGCTTTGTTAGCGAGCTGAAACAGAGATGTCTGTGCTTTAAACCTGGGGAGCTTTGCTAATGCAGTTGGTGGTGATCCCTTTCAATGTACATCCCTGGAGTGTCCTGGACCCCCAGGAAACTACTGGGAGCTTAAAGTGAACTTAAAGAGAAGTAGCTGTTCATTGGTACAGTGTGGAGATCCTTTTGCCTGTTGTCCCTCCTGCGTTTTTTTCCTCCTTGAACTGCCGTTTACCACCCATTGCTTTTCTTGTAATGGAAGAGACCTTTCTTTCCTTACTTCATGGAGAAACTGAAGCTGAGGCTACTAGATGGATGCTTGGTACTCATAGTTTGCGCTATGGGTACTAAGTACAAGCAGTTGGGTACCGCTTGTTGAGCAGGAAAGCCCGAAGCGAAGGTGTTGCTGTGGCACAGCTCCTTCCCAGCGCTCCACAAAAGCCAGAGCACTCAGTGCTCTGTGATTTCATTGCTTTATTACTGTAGTTAAAGCTCTTGAGGGCAAGTTTTACATTACGAGTTTTACAAGCACAGTTACCTCTGCGGGTGTGACTCTCTGTGTGCCTGTGCGTGCTGAGTTCTGGACTGATGGAGTTCATGTAAGTGATTCAGTCCTTTCCCACACCAAGTCAATAGCATAGTAAGAAAATATTCCTGGGATCTTCTCATGTGATGTCCTTCCTGCCTCTTCCCTTGGCACCTGATTTTAGGTGTTGTGTTCTGCTGCAGCTGTTCTAATCAACCCACCTCAAAAGAATGATAAGTCAGAACTAGAAGGTAGAGAGAAGCACAAGGAGGTAATTGAGGGAATGAAAGAGCTTCTGTCTGCGTAGTGACAAAACAGACCATGATTTTTCAGCTTGGGAGAGGTGGCTGAAAGGCTGTATTGTATCGCATTAATCATCCTGTGTACTACTTACAAGGGTGATTTGGAGTGAGAGTTCATCTATTTTTGTACTTCTAAAGAGGAAAACAGTGAGTGGAGAACGCAGCTGAAACCCTCAGGTTTAAGAAGGTCCACATCTTTACATAGTGATACACGTCTTTGGCCAAGAGGATGGTTTTATGCTGCCTGTGGGAATGTGTTGGATCCAACGTATCTCCTCCCAGTCACACTGGAGCGGGTGAGATGGACCATCCCTCTGTAATCACCATTTGTTTTGTTGCTGGATGGCTCTGTGGTTTGCTCTGACAGAGCATCCCTTCATCCCCATGGAACAGCAGCATCTCTTGCTGCAAATACATGAGGAGTGATTCAGGGACCAGCTTTCCTGCAGGACAGTGATGGTTATGCTGCTTCCCCTTCTGTGGTTGCAAAATAGGATTCAGAAATCAGCAAGCCATCACAAAATGGGTTTACTTTTCCTAGGACATGGGAATCTGGGTGTTGTTTTGCTAATGTTGCTGCTCTGTATGGGTGAACTGTGGGATCATGTAAATATACAAGCGTATGAAGTCAGCAGAGGGAAGGGGGAGGTGGGATCTGTGCTGTGACTCTGGACATCTAATCTTTGGTGCCCACTTAAGGCAGCTGCTCTCCGCAGAGTCCTTTTTTAGTCACTGCCAAAGCTGCTTTGAGTTGCCCTCTGTGGAGCCTCCCTTAAACACGCCAGGAGCACAGGCTGAAGGGTCTCCAAATTCCCTCCATCCATGTTCAATGACCACTTCCTGGGGATCTCATCTTGCTGGGGTTTGCCCCAATCCATGGGGATTGTTTTATCTAAACCTGATGGTTTTATTGGGCAGAGATTTATCACAAAACTTGACCTTGTTTGACTTGAGAAGTCATGAGAAGTTGATGGGACCAGTCAGCGTAGCTCAGGGCAGGTTGTGATGGCACCTCTGCTAGAGTGGGTGGTGATTTATTAGTAACAGGCAGGAGCTAGAGTATCATAGAATCCCAGACTGGTTTGGGATGAAAGGACCTTAAAGCTTATCCAGTTCCAACCCCTGCCACAGGCAGGGACACCTTCTGCTAGAGCAGCTTGCTCCAAGCCCTTGTGTCCAACCTGGCCTTGAACACTGCCAGGGATGGGGCAGCCACAGCTTCTCTGGGCACCCTGTGCCAGCGCCTCAGCACCCTCACAGGGAAGAGCTTCTGCCTAAGAGCTCATCTCAATCTGCCCTCTGGCAGGTTAAAGCCATTCCCTTGTACAGGCCCTTGTGAAAAGCACAGCCCAAGGAATAAGTGACCTGTTCAGCTGATGGCACATGGAGTTTCTCATTGTTGCTCAGT